CAGACACGCCGCTGGCACTAGAGGCACAGCATGGCCGCGTAGTGACGGCCCCGACCACTGCCGCTCGACCTGACCGGAGAAAACCGTAGCAGGAAACTAGCGAAGTCGTAGTATATATCGTCAAATAGAACTGCCCGGTAAACCGTAGGCAGAGAGGATATATATATATTGTCACGGAACTATTGACTAAGAGCATAAGCACATGAAGTAGAAGAAGAAATAAGATGAGTTCAATAACCCATGCAATATGCCTCGTGGCATGTCTAAGGGCGTCGCCAGGGCCTGAGCGGGCGACAGTTAACTAGAGTCAACTGCACAGTGGACCCAGCCCAGGCTGCCGGTCAGACGCACACACTTGTTTGTATGCACGTACCCAGACAGCATCAGGACCAAGGGGAAGTCTGCAATTGTACACAATCCAGGCCCTAGGCTGTGAGTCAATCTGTACGACTGTGCATGGGAGACCAGAGGCCAGACTGCCTCGTCAAACACTACATACGGCTTGGTCTCCAGGAGGTCAACATTCAGTCTTGCTATGCTGCCTTGACGCTGGGTGGACGCTGGTATGATGCTGGTTCGACGCTGGTTGGATGCTGGCTCGATGCCGGTTGGATGCTGGCTTGACGCTGGATGTGCGCTAGTACAGTGGACGACGACACAGGACTGTGGCAGCATGCTGGCGCCTTCGCTGCTGAGTGCCACCTCTGCTGATCTGGCGCGTGCCACCTGTCTTCAATGCTGATGTGGTGCATGCCACCTGTCTACATTGCTGATGTGGCGCATGCCACCTGTCTACATTGCTGACGTGGTGCATGCCACCTGCTACCTTGCTCATGTGGCCCAGGCCATTTGTCTACATTGCTGATGTGGCACAGTCCATCTCTCTTCATTGCTGATGTGGTGCATGCCACCTGTCTCTATTGCTGACATGGCATTGGCCACGTTGTCTACAGCGTGTGGTTGGTCGCGACAAGAAGGGAGACCAGGATCTGTGGATGATAGGGGGAACTGGTACTCACCTGAGCTTGACGTCGATACCGTGCACTATTGTTTGTCTTCATTGTCTCCACAAGATGACAGTGCCACGTGGCACTTCTATGTGATCATGACTCGTCTGACTTGTTACTGGGCAGCCAGGATCAGGAGTGGGTAATGTTTGAGCTACTTTTTTGGTGGTCACTAATTATCTCTTCCACCCTCTCTCATCTGTCTATTCCCCCTCCATTCTCTTTGTCTATTGGTAATGAGACATTATCAGATACCGCTTTCACGATTACTGGAGACATTGTGAGGGTCTGAGTCAACTTGTACTTCGACGTCTGACAAGTATCTTCCAATCTGGGTTCATTACAATTTGGCATCGTAGTATACCTCCTTCATCGTGATCTGCAGTCAGGTGCTGACCTGGCACACAGGTAAGTGCGAGCTGCCGCGTGTGCTGGGACGAAACACGTTTATTAACGCGTGCGAGTAATCGCACGTCTAAACATTGAGTACCGCACATGCGTGCAGCCTCCCTTGAAGGTGATGACGTGGACACATTGAACAAGAAGAAGGCGACATTGCTTCTGTGGCGCTTTGTTGTTGACGTGGCATTGAGATACCGGTGAGAGCACAGTTGGCAACAGACTAACGTGGCGCTGGTGAAGAAAGAGAGAGTGTGGATATTCGCTACGTGGCATGACGTTGGGGTGCCGACGTGGCAACCTACTACTATTGGCAGGGTATAGTCTGACGTGGCACATACCTGTGTCACAATTGCTTGATGACAAAGTG